ATGTGGTTGAAAGACAAAACAAACAAATATAATGAAGAGACATTTCTGCATGTCAAACTTGGATTCTAAATTTTTAGATCTGGAATCCCAACTCGTCATCATCAATGAGGATGCTTAGACCTAGAGAGGGAAAGCAGCATGTTCCCAAATCACTTAGCTAGTAATTGGCAGTTTAAACCAGTATTCAGATTTCAGACCCCAGACTTTTTTTTTGAACTATATTTGTGTAACGTTTTATCTTTGCAAAGAAAGCACTTTTTCAGCATACAGTTCTTTTTATTCCCACCTAGCTCAGGGTACTAGGTGGTAGTATCACCCCAGTTTTAGAAAGATAAAACGAAGGTTTAAGGGCAGTAAGTAACCCAGTATCACAACAGTAGGGTGCTTATTAAATCCATAGCCCTTGTCTTTTGAGAGCATCTTATAGAGAAGACACACATCTAAGAATAACAGAGAATAGGAAGATAGGATAAATGCAGTCTAATATAATGAGGATGAAATAAACGTTTACCATGTGGGAGAACTGAATAACACAGTCCTGCTTGGAAACTGCTGAAATTTGGAATAAAGAATGCTTAGGTAATGGTTGGATTACCACATATCATAATATTTATATTTCTTCTACTTTTCTCTTCCCTATCCTTCAAAACCATTCATTTTGCTATCCCTATTATGCTAATGTATTCTTTTTTTTTAAATTTTCAGTTTATTTTTAATTTTATGTCATTGGTAACGGAAGAATCCTAAAGCCATTGAGATTTCAGTTGTCATTTTGTTTATCCATTATTTGTTTAGAATTTGACCTTAGTCAACATTTTCTTAACATGCAGGATTTTCAATATGTTTAATATCTGAATCATACACCAAAGTGGGTTTCTCATTAGTAGGTATGACTATAGTAGACATATGTTTTTGGAGTAGGACCTTGAACTTTTTTTAACTGTAGAAAGCTGGCGTTTTCTCTCTCTAGGTTAGTATTAACAAGCAATGTTTTAGTCTGTAATAGCATCTAAAAACATTTTATAACCTTTGAATGCATCGCAAGACAGCCGTATTCTGTTTTAATAAAATATAAAGACCCAGGTGTCATCCTGGACTTGTTAGGAGAACTTATAAATAGTTGTGCTAGGTTACTGCTGCTGTTAACCTTGCCATAATAAACATGTTCTTTCTGCTTAGTAAATCATATTGTGGGTGTGTTCCTGAACAAATTATTTTCTTTAGAAAACAATTTTTTATATACATTTTAAATTTCCTCTCTCATCCCCACCACCCTTCCCCATCCTTCAGAGGCTCAGATGGGGGTTAAAATATCTTTTCATATTATTTTAATTATTGCTCTCCCCACCTCCACTCCTTTCCTGTTTTCCCCTCCTCTTTTCCCCTAACGGCACTGTTCTGGCAAAGCCTGCAATGATTGATGTGATGGCAGTGCTGTCATTCTTTTTAACCAAAAAAAAAGTCATTTTTGTTCTAGTTATTTTAATAGAGTCCCATTAAAGATGTATTGCTGACTGAAATATTGGCATGAAGGGCTCTCACTGAGCTGAGCCCAGGAATTAAGAAGTCAGGAAATCGGCTGCTGCATTGCAAGAGAGCCTTGTGTGACACCGAATCTCCTGATTGGGGAGATCATTACTGCTATTATGACTCGACTTGCGTAGGAATTTTAAATTCCATCTGAATGTCAGTAATAACCCTCTTAGCAAATTATCCTGAATAAAATCACGAAGGCATTTTATATAATAGGTGTTGAATTACTGGATAGATTTGCTAATTAAATACTCTTTGTTCTGCTGCAGTTGACATTACAGGGTAAGATCTTGAACAATTATTCTCAACAGCTGTACTTTGTTAAGGGAAAAATTAACCACAAAGTTTATTTTTTTATACTTGAAGTTGGCAGATTTTTGAAATGTGCTTGAAAAAATTCCATCATCCAATTGGTAATGAGTAGATAAATATGCAGGTGTTGCTGTGAAATCAGATAACTGCAGACTGCCTTATTAATGAATTTCACAAGACTTTATAGCCCTGTTTTCTAGCCATTGGCACTTAGAAAATGATTTTCTATCAGAATGGGTAGCTTTAATATTAGGCTTGTAACTTCAAAGTGAACATATGAATGGTCATCTTGTAATCACTGTACGTTATGTCCAGTAGACCTTTCTGGGTACCTGTGGCTATTTTTAAAAATGCATTTCCTCAATGGGGGAAAAATCTGTAATATATAAGTTTTTGACTGTTGGCTTCTTGAACATTCATGTGTTAGGGAAAGAAATTAAACATAAGGTCCAGCTTCTAGATCAAGCTCTTGATTAGCTCTGTTACTTTGGGCAAAATCTCAGAGCCTAATTTTCCTCATCTGTCAAATGGGGCATATAACACTGCCTACCCCTTAGGATTATTCATTCAGCTTTCTATAATTGTTTATTAATAGCTCCCATGTACCAGGCCCTCTGCTAGATACTAAGAATTTGGTAGCCTGCTGGATATCCAACAGCCAGGCCCTCCCCAGTGAGCAGTTTGATTTGAAGACTGGGCCCGAGGGCAGTTTTGGTGTGATACTACTCATTAGCATTTGGGTACGTGTTGGACTAGAGAAGACACTGTGGTACCCACCATCTAGAACTGCTAAGCGAAGAAGCATGAGAGGGTGGGGGTCAGCCTGGTTGTGGGTTCTCTCATATAGAATGGACAGAATTGGGGCTGGCCCGGTGGCGCACTGGATAGCGCGCCGCTTGGGAAGCGTGGCGGCGCTCCCGCCCGAGGGTTCGGATCCCACATACAGACCGGTTCCCGCTCACTGGCTGAGCGAGGCGCGGGAGCAACACCGAGGGTTGCGATCCCGTTGCCCGTCCAGGTCCGGTACGGGGGCGACACTGAGGGTTGCGATACGTTGCCGGACACGGAAAAAGACAAAAAAAAAAAAAAAAAAAAAGAATGGACAGAATTGATTAGCTTGGTGAGGATATTGAACCTGAGTCAGAGCATTGTCATCAG